CTGCTAAATAACCCGTGGTTTAATGAGGGTGTCACAATGGAAAGTACCAAAAAATGTTAAAACTAGTTGAAAGCTTATATGGAAAGATCAAGAGTAATTTTAGCTGAAGTCAGTAAGCTTGGTTGGTTTTGTGTGTGTGTGTGTGTGTGTGTGTGTGTGTGTGTGTGTGTGTGTGTGTGTGTTTCAATTCAGAGTCTTTGTTGCCTAGGTATTTTTTAACTTTATTTTCTGTTCGGTAAAATTTTAACTTTTCAAAAGGGCAAGAACAATGCCATCTATTATTGAACATCTGGACCCTGAGAAATGTCAGGGTTGGTGAGGGGTCAGACTTACACAGGAATAATCATTCTGATTCAAAAATGGAATGTGCATGTATTGCTGGTGGGGATTAGAAGGATGGGGAGGTGACTTTCCAAAGTCCCTGAGCGCTTGGAGCTCAGCAGAGTAGAGAAGCATTAGCCCCCACCCCTCTCATGCCCTCTTCCTCCTTACACGGGGACTCTGACATTTGCAGCTGTGACTTAAGGAGCGGGTCCCTTCAAAATGAGTGCTTATCACTTATTTATCATGAACAGTATTTCCATATGGCGTGTGTGTGTGTGTGTGTGTGTGTGTGTGTGTGTGTGTGTGTGTGGTTTGGAGCTTGAACCCAGGGATTCATACATGCTAGGCTAGCACACTACCATTCTACCATTGAGTTGTATAACTTAGCCTTTCTCTTCTCGGGTTTTAATTTGAAGAAGTATCTTGTTGAGTCACCTGGCTGTCCTTGAATTCACCGTGTAGCTGCGGTAGGCCTTGGACTTGTGACCTTCCTGCCTTGGCCTCCTGAGTAACTGGAATTACAGGCTTGTGTCACCAGGCCTGGATTGTTATTGAGATGGGCCCCACATCCTCCTGTTTTGACTTGGACTAAGAAGAGCAAACACCAAATTGTAGATAATGAGTCCACACCGAAGCCCTGACACAGTTCAGAATATGTAGGAATGACCAAAATCCATTAAATCTGTTTGGCCTGGATAATTAGCTGGTGACTGTTGAAAATTTAGTCCCTGGTGCTCTTGAAGCAACTGAAGTGTAAAGTTCTACCTTCCCTGCGACTGACTAAAGATCATCCAAGACTGGTTTCCATACAGCCCTCGCCTGAGAATTATTTTTGTTCAGTTTGTATTTTAAAGGGCTTTTAAATACACATACAAGGAATCAGCCTCTGGATATCTGTGTCCCTCAAGGTTTAAGATATTTACCATCTAACTGTACACAGGGTAGGGTGGTGGGATTACCAAACCCTGCAGTAGACCACGGGTTTACTAATATGGTCCTTACACCAGCTTGCTGATTCTTGGGTCTCCTCCAAAGTTCACTATCGAGGTACGGAACCCAAAAATGCCTGTGTGGACAGCCCTTATTGGTTCTGATGCATGCTGAAACTTGAGACTTGTTCTGTCATGGAAGATCACCTTTCCCTTAGTCTTTCAGATACGAAGAGATTCAGAGTAGACTATGGCCAACTGCTAAGGGAGGGGGGTTTTTCTTTTGTTGTGTTTTATTTTGTTTCCCATTCTTAACTCATCAGTAGTCTGTGCTTCTCTCCCAACCCCCTGTGAGGACTTTTATCTGATCTATACTAAAGATTCATGGAGGAATCTAAGGCCTAGATATGAAAACAAGAGATTTGGGGGCCAGCAAAATGGCTCAGTGGGTAAAGGGGCATACCACCAACCTGACAAATGGAGTTCAATTCCCAGAACACACACGGTAGGAGAGAACTGGTTCCACAAAGTTGTCCTCCTCTCACAATCACACATGCCCTATATATGGACACTGTAAATAATACAAATAAATGCATAAATAACACAATGAATGTTAAAAGAAAACAGTGGATTTTGTTGTACTAAATATAACTATGAATGTCCTTTAACTGTGCGATCCAAAGCCATAGAATGCTGACTGTTGACTTTCTTCTCTGTTCTTAGTCTCCTCCTTCTGTCTGCCTTTTCTGTCCCTCGTCTCTCTCGTCATCTTTTCTCTCTGCCTTTTTCTTCCCTTGGCCCTTTCCCTATTTCCTCTTGTTCTTTATCCCTGTTTCTACTTTTCTCCTCCCTCTCTCTACTGAACCCTACCTCTTCCCCTCTCCAGCTATCTCTTTCTCATTTCTTCCCCCTGCTCTGATTTCATTTCTGCTTGTCCAGGGTCAAATGGTTAAAACAGTAACAACAGTATTTCCTGTGTAAATACATTCCTATTAATAATAACACTAAATGGAAACTTTTGGATTCAGAGATCGGTATCCATGAAAACTACCAAAGGAAGAGGGCTTTAAATTTCTAGTAGTGGTCAGTGTCTTGATGATAGCACTACCAGTAGTAATAATATGAATAATAATGTTTCACTGGTTTTGTTGTGGTTACTTTATACTGACCCTGTGTCACTTCCAAATACTTTCCTAAGAAAGTACTTTTCAGTGTAGTCTGGGACCCTGGGGGATGCCCAAGACTGATCCAGAAGTCTCTAAGGTCAAACAGTTTTTATCTTCGTCCTAAGATATCATTTGTTCTTTTCATTGTGCTGACACCTCTACTGGCTATACAAAAGCAATAGCAGCAAAAACTATTACCTGACTCTGTGACCAGAGCCAAGGAAAGTAGTCACTGTAGTATTTACCGTGTTTGTGAAAGGAGAGAGAAAACCAGATTTATTTTAGAAAGTCTCTAATGATACAGCAATTTTTTTTATTAAACTTTGACCTTTGAAGACATGTGCATTTAATGTCTTATGTGAGAAAATGGGGGTATACCCACAGAACATTTCTACATCCTAAGTGTGTTTGACTTGGGAGCTTACTTAGTCCCCTTTTTCACTGACCGCCATTTTTATTTGGAAGAAGAACTGATAAGTAAACTGTGCTTATGCTAACTTGGGTGGTAGCAGACATTTTCCTGCAAGTGGATGAAGGCAGCCATAATTTTAAGGAAAATATTCTACTGGTAGAATGGCCAAACAAAATGATCCCTCCTTAATGAGACAGAGGCTATGTTAACTCTTTTAAAGCCATCTTATGCTCTCAAATGTCATTTCTAATTAAAGGGAAAATCTGCTTGGAATACTAATGAATTTTCAAATTACAGAGCTAAAACTGTTTCCTAAAGGTTATGTAGTATGAAGCCACTCATTTTATAGATTAGAAAAATAGAGCCCATATATTAAAATCTACACCCCAGATGACATTCCACAAATGTGTGATTTATGGTGTCATATTTTGTAGTGTTTTAAATTTCCAAGCACTTTCATATATTCTTTTTCATCTGACCCTTACACAGGCCTCTGAGTACATAAAACTGTTTGAAGATGAGAAACTGAGAGACTCAAAGAGGTTAATTGTCTCAATGCACTTTATACTTTCCTGCCCTTTCATCTATTATCTCAAGGCCCTGAACTAAAGGCAGTACAGGTGGAGAGGACGGAGACGCTCTACAACTTAGCAACTAAATACTTGTGAAAGAAGAGGAAATGCAGAAGCCAGGGAAATTTCCAAAACCATTTGCTTTAGAACTTAAGAGAGAATGGGTAGTTGAGGAACTAAAAATAAAGACAGAATAGAGTCTGTCAGTAAATGTTGTGGCATCTGCTTTAGAGAACTCTTAAGACGTACAGGCTGTGGACCTGGTTTATTTAGGAAAGATGGCATGCATACCAGTAACTCTAATTCAAGATAAAGATTGTTGAATGCCTCATGAAAACCATAAATGAAAGCCTGTTGCTGCTCACCAAAGACTGACTTTGGTCACGGGAAATATTTATGAAAGAGTGCTGCTGAATTGTTGAATTTGGATGTGTAGAGGTGATTACACGGAGACAAGAAGAATCCCCTTACAACAAACTAGTGAGAAGAGCATTCAAGGAGGAATATCTGGTATAGAAGTTAGTGGGGAATTTGGCATGTGTAGGAAGACCACAATTATAATTGAATACAATTACTCCACCAAATGTCTAGAAATGTTTGCCGCAGAGTCTGAAAACATGGTGATGCTGCATGTTATGATTTAGATGTGAAATATTTCCTGAAAAAGCTTGTGTGTTGAAGTTCTTGGTCCCCAGCTGGTAACAGATGAAAAATGACTGGATCATAAGGGTACTGACTTCATCCATGTACAGATCCATTGACGAGTTCATAGTTGAGTGGTCTATTAGGAGACAGGTCCTTGCTGGAAGAAGTTAGCCACTGGAGGAATGTATACTTGAATAGTATACCCATTCCCTGGCCCCTTGCTGGCTGTTTCTCTACTTCCTGTCTACCATGATAGGAGAAGTTTTGTTCTCTAGTACCATTCTGCCATGACATACTACCTCATCACAGGCCAAGGAATAACAGAGACAGTTGGCACAGACTAAAACCTCTGAAACTGTGAGCCAAAATCAATGCGTCCTTAGTTGATCTTGTTGGTGCACCCCTGTAATCCCAGTACTTGGGAGACTGAGAAAGAAGGGCCACAAGTTAGAAAACACCTTATAATCACACACACACACACACACACACACACACACACACACACACACACACACACACAAAATCTTTTCTTCCTTCTTGGATTTTGTCACAGGAAGGAAGGATTAGCTAGTAAACTCTAGCTAATGGACAGTTTTCCATTTGACTTTTTCAAAAAATGATATTCTGTGTCATGTGCAGACGTGCACACCTCTAATTCTAGCTACTAAGACTAGGGTAAGAGGATCACTTGAACTCCAAGAATTCAGACATCCTGGACAGCATCGTTAGACACCTTCTCAAATCTGTAGTCTTTAGATAACTTTATTCTGCTCTCACTTAGAAATCCAGTCAATTCTTTAGATTATATTTTCACCTGAAAAAAACATCCCTATGTGTGTCTTAGAGAAATATGGCTTTGTCTTATAGATTTTCTTCTCCTTTGCCATTATTTTTGTTATTTTTCATGGCAGAATTAACCTGATTTAGATGTTCATTATTTTTTTTTCCCTAGAAAAGTCAGAAAAATATGATCCACGTGATGTTGAAAGGCTTCAGCAAGATGATAATTGGGTTGAAAGTTACTTAGTTTGGAGACATAATGTTGTGGATGAAACACTGAAGATGCTTGATGAGAGTTTTCAGTGGAGGAAAGAATTTTCTGTCAATGGTAAGCTATTGGACTTCACCTTGACAGGGTGATACCATCTGTATAAATGTTATTGTTAGATGTTTGTCTGTATTTGCAGTCATCATTAACACTAGAATATTATCTTTAGGGGCCTAATCATACTTTCAAAGGGACCATTTATGACAAAATCTTAGAAGGAGAATCATTCATAAGAAAATCAGATCACAGAGAACCAGGTCACTCATTGCCACTAAAAGAATGGTTACCTAGTCTGTGTTTGGTTCAATTCCATTAAACAATGGCAAGATAGTCTTCTATGGTGGTATTCTAATTGTACTGAAATGTGATTTTGATTGTATGTTAATAAATAAAGTTGCCCGGGGGTCAGAGCTATTAGAGCCATAGCAAGAGTGTGGTGGTGGTGGCACATGCCTTTAATCCCATAGATCTCTGTGTGTTCAGGGATACAGCCAGCATTGGAGACATATGCCTTTAAGACCTAGGGGGC